CCTAGACAACCAGGTGAGGAGAGTTCCTTACTAAGACCTAGACAACCAGGTGAGGATAGTTCCTTACTAAGACCTAGACAACCAGGTGAGGGGAGTTCCTTACTAAGACCTAGACAACCAGGTGAGGGGAGTTCCTTACTAAGACCTAGACAACCAGGTGAGGATAGTTCCTTACTAAGACCTAGACAACCAGGTGAGGGGTGTTCCTTACTAAGACCTAGACAACCAGGTGAGGAGAGTTCCTTACTAAGACCTAGACAACCAGGTGAGGAGAGTTCCTTAATAAGACCTAGACAACCAGGTGAGGAGAGTTCCTTACTAAGCCCTAGACAACCAGGTGAGGAGAGTTCCTTACCAAGACATAGACAACCAGATGAGGGGAGTTCCTTACTAAGACCTAGACAACCAGGTGAGGAGAGTTCCTTACTAAGACCTAGACAACCAGGTGAGGAGAGTTCCTTACCAAGACCTAGACAACCAGATGAGGGGAGTTCCTTACTAATCAGTGACATTAATTCATCAATCAAGTCCAAGGGAGGAGTGAACATGCAGACACTCGGCCCTCCGTGGAATGAGTTTGACACCTGTGACAGTCTGGCTGAAATGACTCTCAGGCCGCATCCCAAATGGTACCCTATTCCCTATATAACGCACTACTATTGACTAAGGTCCTATGGGCCGTGGTCTAAAGTAGTGCACTATAAAGGTGGCCGTGGTCTAAAGTAGTGCACTATAAAGGGAATAGGGTGCCATTTGGGACGCAGCCTCCCTGGTCTGTCATAACCAGAACCTGCCTCCCAGACCTGGAACACTTTCCATTGGTTCAGTTCAGCTGATGGTGGACCTAGGCACCCTACCACAGGGCAGCAGGCGTCCTGTCCTTTAGTCCCCCTTCTGATGGTGGACCTAGGCACCCCACCACAGGGCAGCAGGCGTCCTCTCCTTTAGTCCCCCTTCTGATGGTGGACCTAGGCTCCCCACCACAGGGCAGCAGGCGTCCTGTCCTTTAGTCCCCCTTCTGATGGTGGACCTAGGCACCCCACCACAGGGCAGCAGGCGTCCTGTCCTTCAGTCCCCCTTCTGATGGTGGACCTAGGCTCCCCACCACAGGGCAGCAGGCGTCCTGTCCTTTAGTCCCCCTTCTGATGGTGGACCTAGGCTCCCCACCACAGGGCAGCAGGCGTCCTGTCCTTTAGTCCCCCTTCTGATGGTGGACCTAGGCTCCCCACCGCAGGGCAGCAGGCGTCCTGTCCTTCAGTCCCCCTTCTGATGGTGGACCTAGGCACCCCACCGCAGGGCAGCAGGCGTCCTGTCCTTTAGTCCCCCTTCTGATGGTGGACCTAGGCACCCCACCGCAGGGCAGCAGGCGTCCTGTCCTTTAGTCCCCCTTCTGATGGTGGACCTAGGCTCCCCACCGCAGGGCAGCAGGCGTCCTGTCCTTTAGTCCCCCTTCTGATGGTGGACCTAGGCTCCCCACCGCAGGGCAGCAGGCGTCCTGTCCTTCAGTCCCCCTTCTGATGGTGGACCTAGGCTCCCCACCGCAGGGCAGCAGGCGTCCTGTCCTTTAGTCCCCCTTCTGATGGTGGACCTAGGCACCCCACCGCAGGGCAGCAGGCATCCTGTCCTTCAGTCCCCCTTCTGATGGTGGACCTAGGCTCCCCACCACAGGTCAGCAGGCGTCCTGTCCTTCAGTCCCCCTTCTGATGGTGGACCTAGGCACCCCACCGCAGGGCAGCAGGCGTCCTCTCCTTTAGTCCCCCTTCTGATGGTGGACCTAGGCACCCCACCGCAGGGCAGCGGGCGTCCTGTCCTTTAGTCCCCCTTCTGATGGTGGACCTAGGCTCCCCACCGCAGGGCAGCAGGCGTCCTGTCCTTTAGTCCCCCTTCTGATGGTGGACCTAGGCTCCCCACCACAGGGCAGCAGGCGTCCTGTCCTTTAGTCCCCCTTCTGATGGTGGACCTAGGCTCCCCACCGCAGGGCAGCAGGCGTCCTGTCCTTCAGTCCCCCTTCTGATGGTGGACCTAGGCTCCCCACCGCAGGGCAGCAGGCGTCCTGTCCTTCAGTCCCCCTTCTGATGGTGGACCTAGGCTCCCCACCGCAGGGCAGCAGGCGTCCTGTCCTTCAGTCCCCCTTCTGATGGTGGACCTAGGCTCCCCACCGCAGGGCAGCAGGCGTCCTCTCCTTCAGTCCCCCTTCTTACCTTCTCTCACCCCCTCAGCAGCTCTTTGTTGTTGATTATTGTGTAGTGAATCTGTTGCTGTGAAGTTTCCTCCTCAAACTGTTGGTAAAATATTAATGACGTATAAATTAACTAATCCATTAATTAAGTGCTAATTAAGCTACTGTATGGACACCACACTCAACCATCTCTCCCTCTCTTCCGCAGCAGAAGTTAACAGCTGAGTGTGTGTTCAGAGAGCAGTTTGAGGAGAACTGGTACAACACATACGCCTCCACGCTCTACAAACACAACGACACCGGACGCTTCTACTACGTAGCGCTTAACAAGGACGGCTCGCCGCGGGAGGGGGGCCGGACTAAGAAACACCAGAAACTAACCCACTTCCTGCCTCGGCCTGTGGAGCTGGAGAAGATCCCCCAGGCTTACAGAGATCTGTTCCAATACAGGTGACCTGGGCTGAGCCTGGAGGAACAGGAGGACAGGGAGGAGAGAGGTGGACAGGACTCAGTACTCCCACTGACCTCGCTCCCCAGCCTCAAGCCCCGACCCCCTAAGAAGGTGTTTATGGTATTGCCCCTCCAGCCAAAAGGCCCCCCTCCCGTTCCTCCGAGGACCACCGACCAGAGAGATAAACACAGCTTGTGCTCCTGGACGTTAACTCTCTGAGATCGCTGTTTGACCTCAGAGGGGTCAGAGCGGAGCGGAGGAGACGCTCTTCTCTCCAGCCACTGAGGAGAGAGAGTTGGTCCCACTAGAAAGAGGGGGCTGGCATCAGGCCCATAATACCTCCCTCTGGAGGAGAGCACAGAGTTGAGCGGAGGAGACAATCTCTTCTCTGAACGGATACGGCGGGAGAGATGGAGGGAGAGATGGAGGGAGAGATGGAGGGAGAGGGACTGGCATCAGGCCTGTATGACTGCCTAACCAACCCTGGGATAACCGCAGGTTAAAACCACCTGCACCACTAACCACCAGAAGACAAAGACTTTTCCTGATGAGAACCACTTTTATACATAATAAGATACTTAACCAGCAATCACTGCAAATATAAAAGGGTTTGGGGTTAGTCCTCAGCAGTTTGAGTAGCACCAAAGGGTCTGAGGACTAGTAATGGAAAGTTGATCAGACTAGCTGAGATGGCCAGTGGACACTACTCTAGCCAGCCATTCACCACAGCAACCAGATAACTCCAGGGAGGGGAGGGATTGACCAATGAGAGTTGAGAGAATGTCAGAGTGTTCTAAAGCAACGTGTAGAGAAGTCATCTTCTGACTTGTCATTGTGATGTCAGGGCTGAGCTGGAGAGAGAGTACGCTACTAACAGTTATGTATATGTGATGGAGACAGATTGGCCATGAGGGAGCATCCAGATGTAGCAGGGTTGGCAGAACTTGGCACATAAGCTATATGATACATGTAAAACATTAAAACAGTAGGACAGTCAAGGAGAGGATGATGCTTCTAGATTGTGGTTCAACGAAATGCCGATGACAACGAATGAGAAATCATGAAAAGAATAGGCTTGTATTGAGACAAACTGAAGAGACACTATATACACAGCAGTATGTGGACACCCCTTCAAATTAGAGGATGCTATTTCAGCAACACCCGTTGCTGACAGGTGTATAAAATCGAGCACACAGCCATGCAATCTCCATAGACAAACATTGGCAGTAGAATGGCCTTACTGAAGAGCACAGTGACTTTCAACGTGGCACCGACCAAGGATGCCACCTTTCCAACAAGTCAGTTTGTCATATTTCTGCCCTGCTAGAGCTGCCCGGGTCAACTGTAAGTGCTGTTATTGTGAAGTGGAAACGTTTAGGAGCAACAACGGCTCAGCCGCGAAGTGGTAGGCCACACAAGATCACAGAACGGGACCGCCGAGTGCTGAAGCACGTAGCGCGTAAAAATCATCTGTCCTCGGTTGCAACACTCACTACCGAGTTCCAAACTGCCTCTGGAAGCAACGTAAGCACAAGAACTGTTCGTCGGGAGCTTCATGAAATGGATTTCCATGGCCGAGCAGCCACATACAAGCCTAAGATCACCATGCGCAATGCCAAGCGTCAGCTGGAGTGGGATAAAGCTTGCCGCCATTGGACTCTGGAGCAGTGGAAACGTGTTTTCTGGAGTGATGAATCACGCTTCACCATCTGGCAGTCCGATGGACGAATCTGGGTTTGGCGGATGCCAGGAGAACGCTACCTGCCCGAATGCATAGTTTAGTGGAGGAGGAATAATGGTCTGGGTCTGTTTTTCATGGTTCGGGCTAGGCCCCTTAGTTCCAGTGAAGGGAAATCTTAACGCTACAGCATACAATGAAATTCTAGACGATTCTGTGCTTCCAACTGTGACAACAGTTTGGGGAAGGTCATTTCCTGTTTCAGCATGACAATGGCCCCATGCACAAAGCAAGGTCCATACAGAAATGGTTTATCGAGATCGGTGTGGAAGAACTTTACTGGCCTGCACAGAACCCTGACCTCAAAACCATCTAACACCTTTGAGATGAATTGGAACGCCGACTGCGAGCCAGGCCTAATCGCCCAACATCAGTGCCCGACCTCACTAATGCTCTTGTGGCTGAATGGAAGCACAGCAATGTTCCAACATCTAGCGGAAAGCCTTCCCAGAAGAGTGGAGGCTGTTATAGCAGCAAAGGGGGAACCAACTCCATATTAATGACCATGATTTTGGAATGAGATGTTTGAAGAGCAGGTGTCCACATACTTTTGGTCACGTGGTGCAGTTCCTAACTGTTAGGAAGAGGCTAGGGGAAAACATCTGACAATCTCCAATGTAAGACATAATAAGATGAAAGTGCACTTACTAGTGAGGTTACACTACCCAGACTACAGTGAGGTTACACTACTAGACTACAGTGAGGTTACACTACTAGACTACAGTGAGGTTACACTACTAGACTACAGTGAGGTTACACTACTAGACTACAGTGAGGTTACACTACTAGACTACAGTGAGGTTACACTACTAGACTACAGTGAGGTTACACTACTAGACTACAGTGGGGTTACACTACTAGACTACAGTGAGGTTACACTACTAGGCTACAGTGAGGTTACACTACTAGACTACAGTGAGGTTACACTACTAGACTACAGTGAGGTTACACTACTAGACTACAGTGAGGTTACACTACTAGACTACAGTGAGGTTACACTACTAGACTACAGTGAGGTTACACTACTAGACTACAGTGAGGTTACACTACTAGACTACAGTGGGGTTACACTACTAGACTACAGTGAGGTTACACTACTAGACTACAGTGAGGTTACACTACTAGACTACAGTGAGGTTACACTACTAGACTACAGTGGGGTTACACTACTAGACTACAGTGAGGTTACACTACTAGACTACAGTGAGGTTACACTACTAGACTACAGTGAGGTTACACTACTAGACTACAGTAAGCTTGGGGATGAAAGCACTTATCTGACCAGAGCAAAGCTGTGGTGTGTGTCTGTAGGAGGGTTAGGGTTATGGAGGGAGAGCTTTAGATTGAGGGAGAGCTGTAGAACAGAGGGAGAGCTGTAGAATGGAGGGAGAGCTTTAGAATGAGGGAGAGCTTTAGAACAGAGGGAGAGCTGTAGAATGGAGGGAGAGGTTTAGAATGGAGGGAGAGCTTTAGAATGAGGGAGAGCTTTAGAACAGAGGAAGACCTGTAGAACAGAGGGAGAGCTTTAGAATGGAGGGAGAGCTGTAGAACAGAGGGAGAGCTTTAGAATGGAGGGAGAGCTTTAGAATGGAGGGAGAGCTTTAGAATGCAGGGAGAACTTTAGAACAGAGGGAAAGCTTTAGACTGGAGGGAGAGCTTTAGAACAGAGGGAGAGCTATAGAATGGAAAGAGCGCTTTAGAATGAAGGAGAGCTTTAGAATTGAGGGAGAGCTTTAGTACAGAGGAAGAGCTGTAGAATGGAGGGAGAGCTTTAGAATGAGGGAGAGCTTTAGAACGGAGGGAGAGCTTTAGAATGGAAAGAGCACTTTAGAATGAGGGAGAGCTTTAGAATGAAGGGAGAGCTTTAGAACAGAGGGAGAGCTATAGAATGGAGAGCTTTAGAACGGAGGGAGAGCTTTAGAATGAGGGAGAGCTTTAGAATGGAGGGAGAGCTTTAGAACAGAGGGAAAGATTTAGAATTGAGGGAGAGCTTTAGAATAAAGGAAGAGCTTTAGAAAAGAGGGAAAGCTTTAGACTGGAGGGAGAGCTTTAGAACAGAGGGAGAGCTTTAGAATGGAAAGAGCGCTTTAGAATGAGGGAGAGCTTTAGAATGGAGGGAGAGGTTTAGTACAGAGGGAGAGCTGTAGAATGGAGGGAGAGCTTTAGAATAGAGGGAGATATTTAGAATGAGGGAGAGCTTTAGAATGGAGGGAGAGCTTTAGAACAGAGGGAAAGCTTTAGAACAAAGGGAGAGCATTAGAACGGAGGGAGAGCTTTAGAATGGAGGGAGAGCTTTAGAACGGAGGGAGAGCTTTAGAACAGAGGGAGAGCTGTAGAACAGAGGGAGAGCTGTAGAACAGAGGGATAGCATTAGAACAGAGGGAGAGCTTTAGAACAGATGGAGAGCTTTATAATGAGGGAGAGCTTTAGAATGGAGGGATAGCTTTAGAATGGAGGGAGAGCTTTAGAACGGAGGGAGAGCTTTAGAACAGAGGGAGAGCATTAGAACAGAGGGAGAGCTTTAGAACAGAGGGATAGCTTTAGAACAGAGGGAGAGCTTTAGAATGGGGGAAAACTTTAGAACAGAGGGAGAGCATTAGAACAGAGGGAGAGCATTAGAACAGAGGGAGAGCTTTAGAACAGAGGGAGAGCTTTAGAATGGAGGGAGAGCTTTATAATGGAGGGAGAGCTTTAGAACAGAGGGAGAGCTTTAGAATGGAAAGAGCAATTTAGAATAAGGGAGAGCTTTAGAATGGAGGGAGAGCTTTGAACAGAGGGATAGCTTTAGAACAGAGGGAGAGCTTTAGAACAGAGTGAGAGCTTTAGATCAGAGGGAGAGCTTTAGAATGGAGGGAGAGCTTTAGAAGGGAGGGAGAGCTGTAGAACAGAGGGAGAGCTTTAGAATGGAGGGAGAGCTTTAGAACAGAGGGAGAGCTTTAGAATGGAGGGAGAGCTTTAGAACAGAGGGAAAGCTTTAGAATGGAGGGAGAGCTTTAGAACAGAGGGAGAGCTTTAGAATGGAAAGAGCACTTTAGAATGAGGGAGAGCTTTAGAATGAAGGGAGAGCTTTAGAACAGAGGGAGAGCTGTAGGATGGAGGGAGAGCTTTAGAACAGAGGGAGAGCTTTATAATGAGGGAGAGCTATGGAACAGAGGGAAAGATTTAGAACAGAGGGAAAGCTTTAGAACGTAGGGAGAGCTTTAGAATGAGGGAAAGCTTTAGAACAGAGGGAGAGCTTTAGAACCGAGGGAGAGCTTTAGAACCGAGGGAGAGCTTTAGAACCGAGGGAGAGCTTTAGAACCGAGGGAGAGCTTTAGAACAGAGGGAGAGCTTTAAAATGGAGGGAGAGCTTTAGAACAGAGGGAAAGCTTTATAATGGAGGGAGAGCTTTAGAACAGAGGGAGACCTTTAGAATGGAAAGAGCACTTTAGAATGAGGGAGAGCTTTAGAATGAAGGGAGAGCTTTAGAACAGAGGGAGAGCTGTAGAATGGAGGGAGAGCTTTAGAACAGAGGGAGAGCTTTAGAACAGAGGGAGAGCTTTAGAACAGAGGGAGAGCTTTAGAATGAGGGAGAGCTTTAGAATGAGGGAGAGCTTTCGAACCGAGGGAGAGCTTTCGAACCGAGAGAGAGCATTAGAACCGAGGGAGAGCTGTAGAACAGAGGGAGAGCTTTAGAACAGAGGTAGAGCTTTAGAACAGAGGGAGAGCTTCAGAATGAGGGAGAGCTTTAGAATGGAGGGAGAGCTTTAGAACGGAGGGAGAGCTTTAGAATGAGGGAAAACTTTAGAACAGAGGGAGAGCTTTAGAAAGGAGGGATAGCTTTAGAACAGAGGGAGAGCTTTAGAATGGAGGGAGAGCTTTAGAACAGAGGAAGAGCTGTATAACAGAGGGAGAGCTTTAGAACAGAGGGAGAGCTGTAGAACAGAGGGAGAGCTTTAGAACAGAGGGAGAGCTTTAGAACAGAGGGAGAGCTTTAGAATGAGGGAGAGCTTTAGAATGGAGGGAGAGCTTTAGAACGGAGGGAGAGCTTTAGAACAGAGGGAGAGCTTTAGAACAGAGGGAGAGCTTTAGAACGGAGGGAGAGCTTTAGAACGGAGGGAGAGCTTTAGAACAGAGGGAGAGCTTTAGAACGGAGAGAGAACTTTAGAACAGAGGGAGAGCTTTAGAACAGAGAGAGAGCTTTAGAACAGAGGGAGAGCTTTAGAACGGAGGGAGAGGTTTAGAACAGAGGGAGAGCTTTAGAACGGAGGGAGAGCTGTAGAACAGAGGGAGAGATTTAGAACAGAGGGAGAGTTTTAGAATGAGGGAGAGCTTTAGAACGGAGGGAGAGCTTTAGAACAGAGAGAGAGCTGTAGAATGGAGGGAGAGTTTAGAATGGAGGGAGAGTTTAGAACAGAGGGAGAGCTTTAGAATGGAGGGAGAGCTTTAGAACAGAGGGAAAGCTTTAGAATGGAGGGAGAGCTTTAGAACAGAGGGATAGCTTTAGAACCGAGGGAGAGCTTTAGAACCAAGGGAGAGCTTTAGAACAGAGGGAGAGCTGTAGAATGAGGAGAGCTTTGGAACAGAGGGAGAGCTTTAGAACGGAGGGAAAGCTTTAGAACGGAGGGAGAGCTTTAGAACAGAGGGAGAGCTTTAGAATGAGGGAGAGCTTTAGAATGAGGGAGAGCTTTCGAACCGAGGGAGAGCTTTCGAACCGAGAGAGAGCATTAGAACCGAGGGACAACTTTAGAACAGAGGGAGAGCTTTACAACAGAGGGAGAACTTTAGAACAGAGGGAGAGCTGTAGAACAGAGGGAAAGCTTTAGAACAGAGGTAGAGCTTTAGAACAGAGGGATAGCTTCAGAATGAGGGAGAGCTTTAGAATGGAGGGAGAGCATTAGAACTGAGGGAGAGCTTTAGAATGAGGGAAAACTTTAGAACAGAGGGAGAGCTTTAGAACCGAGGGAGAGCTTTAGAACAGAGGGATAGCTTTAGAATGAGGAGAGCTTTGGAACAGAGGGAGAGCTTTAGAACGGAGGGAAAGCTTTAGAACGGAGGGAGAGCTTTAGAATGAGGGAAGGCTTTAGAAAAGAGGGAGAGCTTTAGAACAGAGGGAGAGCTTTAGAATGAGGGAGAGCTTTAGAATGGAGGGAGAGCTTTAGAACGGAGGGAGAGCTTTAGAATGAGGGAAAACTTTAGAACAGAGGGAGAGCTTTAGAATGAGGGAGAGCTTTAGAATGGAGGGAGAGCTTTAGAACGGAGGGAGAGCTTTAGAATGAGGGAAAACTTTAGAACAGAGGGAGAGCTTTAGAAAGGAGGGATAGCTTTAGAACAGAGGGAGAGCTTTAGAATGGAGGGAGAGCTTTAGAACAGAGGAAGAGCTGTATAACAGAGGGAGAGCTTTAGAACAGAGGGAGAGCTGTAGAACAGAGGGATAGCTTTAGAACAGAGGGAGAGCTTTAGAATGAGGGAGAGCTTTAGAATGGAGGGAGAGCTTTAGAACGGAGGGAGAGCTTTAGAACAGAGGGAGAGCTTTAGAATGGAGGGAGATCTTTAGAACAGAGGAAGAGCTGTAGAACGGAGGGAGAGCTGTAGAACAGAGGGAGAGATTTACAACAGAGGGAGAGTTTTAGAATGAGGGAGAGCTTTAGAATGGAGGGAGAGCTTTAGAACAGAGAGAGAGCTGTAGAATGGAGGGAGAGTTTAGAATGGAGGGAGAGTTTAGAACAGAGGGAGAGCTTTACAACAGAGGGATAACTTTAGAACAGAGGGAGAGCTGTAGAACAGAGGGAGAGCTTTAGAACAGAGGTAGAGCTTTAGAACAGAGGGATAGCTTCAGAATGAGGGAGAGCTTTAGAATGGGGGAAAACTTTAGAACAGAGGGAGAGCTTTAGAAAGGAGGGAGAGCTTTAGAACAGAGGGAGAGCTTTAGAACGGAGGGAGAGCTTTAGAATGAGGGAAAACTTTAGAACAGAGGGAGAGCTTTAGAAAGGAGGGATAGCTTTAGAACAGAGGGAGAGCTTTAGAATGGAGGGAGAGCTTTAGAACAGAGGAAGAGCTGTATAACAGAGGGAAAGCTTTAGAACAGAGGGAGAGCTGTAGAACAGAGGGAGAGCTTTAGAACAGAGGGAGAGCTTTAGAACAGAGGGAGAGCTTTAGAATGAGGGAGAGCTTTAGAATGGAGGGAGAGATTTAGAACGGAGGGAGAGCTTTAGAACAGAGGGAGAGCTTTAGAACGGAGGGAGAGCTTTAGAACAGAGGGAGAGCTTTAGAACGTAGAGAACTTTAGAACAGAGGGAGAGCTTTAGAACAGAGGGAGAGCTTTAGAACGTAGAGAACTTTAGAACAGAGAGAGAGCTTTAGAACAGAGGGAGAGCTGTAGAACAGAGGGAGAGATTTA